TATGATTATTAATAGATTAATTGAAAAAATGATCCATAGATTAATTGATTTGCAAAATAATCTTTAGTTACAGCCCTAATTATATTACTTCATCTAAGGAAGAGCTTTCTGAAATCAAAGCAAACAAGACAGTTGATCTGAGGTGTTAGGAACAAATGTACAACAGGTGATGGCTTTAGCACTCAGTCACCACCTACAGCAGTCTGCTCTGGTGTCATCCGTGCAAGCAAACTGCTCTCATCTGACTCCATTTCACTCTAAGGCTAACTAAATGCTGAGGAAGACAATTATCATCTCTCCTTTAACTTCTACTAGACCATAAAATGCTTCTATATGCTAACCCATCCTAACAAAGCAGTTTCATACTGATTATTCACCTTTGCCCCTGCAGACTGCAGATTTGGACTGTATGCTACTTTATAGTAAGGATACATTTAGACAGAAGATGGCAAAACAAAAGGTATTGGCAGAGCAATGAGAGTGGTTTTATTTTTCCCAATGCTGCACAAAAACAAGCTGAGAATTCTCTTGCTTATAATATAAATCACAGCTTTCAAACAGACAAAACAATGATAACAGGTTCCCTGGAGAATAAAAAAAAGTGTTTAGGCAAATAGTTGAAGTTTTCACTGCCCCTTAGCAGTCAGTCTGCAATGGAAAACAATTGGCCTGTTTATTCTAGGAGCCAAATTATGGAGCTATTTCAACATCCCAGGTTGGCTGAGCCAATACTTCCCAATGTGAGATATGGAAGCTGCTTGCAGAAACTTTAATTGTATTTGGAGCTCTTGACTATTTATAGGCTCATTTTGTTTAGGACTCCTGGTGTGTTTGCCAGGACTTCTATACAGTTTGTGTGTTGTGCTGAGTAGACTTTAATGAGTACTGGATCGTATCAGAGGCAGCAATCCAAACACCCCACCCCCCCTTTATCATCCCAGACTCTGAATGCATGTTTCTTTCAGTTTGAAGCACTGCCTAATTCTGGAGATAAATCAGTCAGGGAGTTGTTATTCAAACCAAAAAATTTAATAAACGGCTTGATGATGAAAAAACATGATCATTTCAAAAGCAAACTCTGACTATAGCTTTAAAAAAAATATCATAAATCAATTTGATTTTAAAGAGTTTAAATCATTAGAAATGATTCATTGTTTCTGTTACTGTCCACCATACGGGCCTGTAGCTGCAGTTTCCTGTTCTAATTGAGAGAATTCGCACTCACTTTTGGTCTAATGTTGTATAACCCTTCTTTTCAAGGTTCAAGGTGTCATGCCCCAGAGATTGATTTCTGCACACCCATAGTTCATTTTTTGAGCACCTTTCTATGATCTTGGAAGAGTCTCAGTGCTCTTCTCTGATCCTTGACATCAATAAGGGGTTGTTCAGGCAAGGCAATACAAGTTTATTTATATACCACATTTAATAAGCAAGACGAAGTACACTGCAATATTATAAAGGCAGCTCAAATAACTAAAGGAAATACAACTGAATAATTAAAATAAAATGTTATATTAAAAAAAAACATAAAACACATAAAAGTGAAAGAGATTACGCTCTGTCCCATTTCTATCACTTGCACTCATTTTGGGTCCTAGCACACGGTTTTTCACATTTACGTGTAAGGGTAAGTGTGTCCCAATACTTTTAAGAGCTAGGGGGAGGTGCCCTTCAACCCTTAAAATGCTACCTTTAAACCAAGGGTGGTCAAGAACTGACCTGGAACAAAGTTGTCAGGCTGTGGTAAAGAACTGCACAAATGTAAGTATATTTTTGCAATTAATAGCATGTTTCAAAAAAAATGTGTTGGGATATCTCAGTTAGATGTAAATACAATTGAATTCCGTACCGTTGTGTTAAAATGTGAACATTGTAAAATCACTATTTTTTGTAAAACACAGATCTACCCAGAGAGATGTTTTTTAAATACATGTAAAGCATTATGATTATGCATGAAAGCTTTTAACAAAATCACTTTATCACCATTTCTGTTTTGATATGTGCAATTGCCAAGGTGACTATAACAGCATAGATGGTATAACGTTACACATAATTGTCATTGCTCTAGATTGCTGCACAGTGCGTGCACACAGTAACTGTCATAAGGCATGATATTTCAGGTTTATGAGTAATATCTCTGTAGTTCCTGGGCCAATCCATAAGAAGAAAAACTGTTGCCCAATGTCTTCTATGTCAGCAGAATAATTTATCTTCTCATAAAGGTGTCAAATATTGGACCACAGACTGCAATCTTAACTAATTAGGTAAAGATGTCAGAGTCAAGGTCCACTAGGAGTGTGGAAAAAAATTGTTTTGGCAATAAGTATCGATTTTTTTTTAAGTAAAACATTGCCCAGGGAAAATGGGTTACCTCTACACCACCAGTCTGACAGATGGTGCTATGGAGCCCTTTAGCTGTACGGCGCAGCACATTATCTGTAGTTGAGGCAGTCAGCGGGGAAGACATGAACTGACTCAAACCCCAAGCAACATGGATACCAAAATAACTGAACAATAAATATCATCTGATGACCATATACAGAGGTTGCTTTTTTATCTATATATTTCATTTTGATAGCAAGAAAAAATTAGGGATATATGGTGATATTGCAATATTGTGATAATATTGTATCATGACCCAAGTATAGTGACACACATCATATCGCATCACCCATGACAATACTCACCCCTAACTTCCACTGTATATAAAAAAACTTTGTTTTTTATTGATTTAAAGCAATTTAGGGTTTGAGCGCTTTTACAGTTTTCTATGGGTTTATACCAGATTAGTGGAGCATAATAACTAAAAGTAACATAATTCTGATCAGACACATTCATCACTGAACCTCAAATTGCTACATTATAGTGCAATAAACACTTTGGGCCGGATCTATCAAAGGTTTGCGTGTATAAA